TATTAAGGAAATAAACTTAAAACAACACTAACCAACTATACCTAGAAGACACATACAAAATACTCCATCATAAGAGCAGAATACACATTCTTCTCAAGCACCCATGGAACATTCTTCAGGATAGATCATATGTTAGATCACAAAACAGTAAATTTAAAAAGACTAGGCTGGCCAGGTGTGGTGGCTCACACCTATAATCAGGCAGAGGTGTGGTGAGCTGAGATTGTGCCACTGCACTCCAGCCTGGTGACAGAGAGAGACTGCATCACATACACACACACACACACACACAAACACAAATATCTAAAATCAGAGATGAAAGAGAGGACATTACTAGCAACCTTACAGAAATAAAAAGGATTATAAGATAATACCACGAACAAGTATAAAATAGCAAATTAGATTATCTAAAATGAAGTTATAAAATTTGACTCAGCAGTCAAAAACTTCCCAAAAAAAGTCCAAGACCGGATGCCTTCACTGGTGAATTCTACCAAACATTTGAAGATTAATGCCAATCCTTTTCAAACTCTTCCAAAAAATAGAAGAGTGAGGAACACTTCCTAACTCCTTCTATGAAGCCAGCTTTACCTTGATATAATAGATTTAAAAATCACAAGAAAATACATCAAATCATTACATGCTGGGCGTGGTGACTCACGCCTGTAATCCCAGCACTTTGGGAGGCAGAGGCAGGGAGGATCCCTTGAGCCCCGGGAGTTTGCAACCAGCCTGGGCAACATAGGAAGACCCCATCTCTACTTTTTAAGTATTTTTTTTAATCAAAAAGAAAAATTACAAAACAATATCCCTTATAAATACACAGATGCAAAAGTCTTGAACCAAATCCCATGACATATTAAAAAAAAAATGGATATACACCATTGTTAAAAGTTAGAATTTATCTCATGAATGCAAGGATAGTTCAACCTAAGGAAAATCAGTGTAATACACCACAGTAACAGAGCAAAAAAGAAAAAACAAACACATGCTTATCTTAAGAGATGCAGAAAAAAAGTTTGATAAAATGTAACACTCTTTCACAATAAAAACACTCACAAAACTAGGAATGGAAGAGAACTTCCTCAACCTGATAAAGGGCATTTATGAAAAACACTGCTAACATCAAACTTAATAGTTAAAGAACGAAAGCTGGCCGGGCGCGGTGGCTCAAGCCTGTAATCCCAGCACTTTGGGAGGCCGAGACGGGCGGATCACAAGGTCAGGAGATCGAGACCATCCTGGC